GATCTCATCATTGTACACACATCACAGACTGCACTTACACAAACCTAGGTGGCATAACCTACTCCATGCCTAGGCTATATGATACAGCCTACTGCTCCTTGGCTACAGACTTGTTCAGCATGTTATTATACTGAATACTGTCTGTGACTACAACACAGTGATAGGTGTTTGTGTATCTGCACATATCTAAACACAGAAAAGGTACAGTGGAGACACAATAAAAGATGGAGACATGACAATATAAAAGATGGAGAATGGTACACCTAGATAGGGCACTTACCATGAGTGGAACCTGCAGGACTGGAAGTCGTTCTGGGTGAGTCAGTGAGTGAGTGACAAGTGAATGTGAAGGCCTAGAACACTACTGTAGACTTTATAAACATTATAAACTTAGACTATACGAAATTTATTTTTAAAATGTTTTCCTTTCTTCAATAATAAATTACGCTTAGCTTACTGTATTTTTTTAAATTTGTCACCTTTAATTTTTCTTTTAACTTTTTGCCTCTTTTCTAGCAACACTTGGCTTAAAACACAAACACTGTGAATCAGTACAAAAATATTTTCTTTATATCTTTATTCTATCAGTATTCTCTTAACTTCTTTTTTTATTATTTTTAAGCTGTTTTTGTATGCAATTAAGATACAAACACACATTAGCCCATAGCCTAGGACTATACAGAATCAAGATCATCACCGTCACTAGGCAATGGGGACTTTTCAGTTCTATTATAATCTTATGGGACCACTGTTACATATTCAGTCCATCCTTGACCAAAAACGTCATTTCGTGGTGCATGACTATTTAAGTCTTTTCATCTTGTATTAAAAGTGTGATCATGAGCCATAATGAAAACACAACAAAAGTGCTAGAATGAAAATTATCTGGGAGAATTACAGTAAGGAAATGGGGAAAAAAAAACAACTTATTATTTATTCTGGATCAAAACACAAGGGAAGGACCAATCACAGAGGAGAGGTTTGGATTATGAAAGCAGGGGGCCTGGATTCCACCCGGCTCTACCTATCACTAGCTGCATGACTTTGGGCAAAGAATTTACCTCCCTGGTCTCACTGTCCTCATTTTTAAAATGGTGATGTTAACAAAACAGTGCCCACCTCGTCGGACTGTGATGAGGCATAACTTAGTTGATATCTGTAAAGTGCTTAGAAAAGTACTCAATCAATAGTAGCAGCAATATAAGTGTTTGTTAAAATGAGTTTCAATTTGGACTTGAAGGTAATAATGATTTTAAAAAGGCAAGGCAGAGAAACAAGTGAGCAAAGATATAGAAAAATACAAGCATCAACTTTATGAAACAAAGCTTCTACCCTTTGTTTCATAAAGGGTAGGTTGTTAAATGTACAGGGTTGGTTAAATGCACAGGAATATGGCAAAATAATCAGTAAAGACTAAACTGTAGAAAAGATTTGAGGAAAAAATGTACGAGAAGGCTTTGAATTCCTGCTGTATGAATATAAACATTGTACTGTAGAAACAAGGTGTTTAAAGGATTTGGGACCGAGGAAGACCATAATCACATGAAGGAAAGAAAGTGGGTTGTGTGTTCAGTGCCCTGCTGGTGCCTAGCATATGAGCTGCTTATGATTTCAAGTACACAGGTGGTAACCATAAGTACACAAACAAAGGCATTTAACTCTGACACTGAACCAGCCATTACTCCACCACGAACTGAAACCAGGGTCTAAAATTTGAACTTAAAAATAATGCTATCACAGAATATTAACCATCAAGACATTAAAACAGCATTAAATGACAAGCAATGCATATACTGTAATCACGAGGGATGGGTTTTCATCTGTGCAGATGGAGGTATCTGTCCAGGTATTGCATTCAAAATAAACAAAAAAACTGCTTCTGTCTTCCTCATCTGTTCGTAACATTTTCAACAACTTAATTTAGAAACTGACAACTGAATTATAAATCATATTCAGTAAAAATGGCAGATCTAGTGTAAGGAATGCAATACCCCCTAAACAACAGCAGTGGGTATGTTCGATTCTCCACACTCTATTCTGGAGGGGATATTCATTCTGTGCTGGTATTCCGCAAAAAGGTATATGTAAGAGTAATTTAATCCTAAGTGAAATATCACTGGGTTAATTTTATTACATACACACATATATAAAGATATGTATATATATAAAATAAATGTTGTAACATGCACTTTTCTGTGTACTAATCTTACTTGTATAAAAGTTATATACAACAGCCACAGGAAACTAATATGCCAGGTAAATAATTTCTTATGATGAATACTACATATAGTGTTCATATATATATGTATATATATCACTAAAAATAAAGTGTGTATATATATATACACAGAGATATCTTTTTATCTACATTTCACTAAGAAGACTGGAATGCTGACATATAAATGTCATTTCTGGGAGACTTCTGTTTCTCTTTTTAGCTTATTTTTATTTTTGTAGAGATGGGGTCTGGCTATGTTGCCCAGGCTGCTCTTAAACTCCTGTCATCAATCAATCCTCTGGCCTTGGCCTCCCAAAGCACTGGGATCACAGGCATGAGCCACTGTGCCTGGTCTGTTTCTCTTTTTACTTATCTATATGTATTTTCTGTTCACTTTTTGGGTGAGATTTGAGGACAGATGCTTCAGTCTCTATTATTTCAAAGAGCTAAGAGACAATGCCTTGATTGGGAGGTTTGCTACCTGCTATGGCACCAATAATGCACCTGGCCACTATGAACCATACTATTTACCCGCATCTACAAATAAACAAACAAACATAAACCAGTAATGTAGTAAGTTTGGAGACTTTCAGAAGAGTTTTAAAAATGTATTTTGTTGGCCGGGCATGGTGCGTCACGCCTGTAATCCCAGCACTTTGGGAGGCCGAGGCAGGCAGATCACGAGGTCAGGAGTTAGAGACCAGCCTGGCCAACACAGTGAAACCCCGTCTCTACTAAAAATACAAAAAAAAAAAAAAAAAAAAAAAAAAATTAACAGTGGCTTTCACGTCTCTACTAAAACTAACATGGCTGGTGGTGGCAGATGCCTGTAATCCCAGCTGCTGCGGGAGGCTGAAGTGGGGATAATTACTTGAACCCAGGAGGCAGAGGTTAAAAAAAAAAAAAAAAAAAAAAAAAAAAATAGCCAGGAGTGGTGGCAGATGCCTGTAATCCCAGCTGCTCGGGAGGCTGAGGCAGGATAATTACTTGAACCCAGGAGGCAGAGGTTGCAGTGAGCCAAGATAGTGCCACTGCACTCCAGCCTGGGTGACAGGGCAACACTCCATCTCAAAAAATAAATAAATAAACAAAATAAAATAAAATATATTTTGTTGTATCTGGCTTGTAAATGTACAAGCTCCCATCACAACAAAGATAAAACTACCTAGACTACTAGGCCACTCAAAATTATCCTGTCCTAATCCCAGGAACCTTATTTAGAAAAAAAAATTTCTAAATAAGGTTACCTTATCTAGTTACGTTACCTTATCTAGAAAAATAAATTTTACAGATGTGATTTAGATCTTGAGATGGGATTACCCTGGTGTGCTCTAAATATAATCACATGTCTCCTTGTAAAAGGCAGGCAGAAGGAGATTATAGATATAAGAGGAGAAGGCCGTGTGAGGATGGAGAGGCTAAAGCGATGTGCCTACAAATCAAGGAATGTTGTAGTCATCAGAAACTGGAAGAGACAAGGAAAGGAATCTCCCCTAGAGCCTCCAGAGGGAGAACGATTTTGCCAACACCTTGACTTTGGCCTAGTGACAGTGATTTTGGCATCTGGCCTCCAAAACGATCAGAGACTACATTTCTATCACTTTCAGCCAAGAAAAATCTGTGGTAATTTGTCACAGCAGCCACATGAAACTAATGAAGCAGGTAAGTAAGTTCTTAAGATTTCAAGTAAATTCAATGGTATAAAAACTAGAAATGAAAGAGATTTCCCATTTACTGAGTACCTACATAAATTATCTCATAAAATCATCAGTAGCAACCCTATTACTATCAGCTCTTTTAATTAGTAGAGATCATACCCATACCTATGTTTCTTGCATAACTGCTCTGACATTGCTCTGATCAGCAATGCAAATTGAGGAAGTGACTTTTATTCTCCCAAATAAACTTAGAGATGTACAAGAATGCTATTTTCAATTATTTCATGCAGAATTCTATCTAAAATAAAAATTTATCCATAGTCATTAGTTTAATTGAAAAATCTGCATTACTTCTTTCTACTGACTTCAAAGATTGAAAAATTAAAAATAATTCTCAATTAAATTTGAGATAGTCATGTCAGATTTATGATTTCTTTAAAACATTTTTCCCATTAACATTAATCACCAATCCAAGGACAGAAAGAAAAAAGGTGTGTGCCTAGACCAGCTCAGGAATTTACAGATACCACAGAGCATTTAGAGTGAATAAAATGGCAACAAGCATGTGGACACGGACTTGGTGTCTGACACTGTGCTTAGGATTGGTGATGTGGCAATGAAGTAGCCTGATGGTTTACTCAATGGCAAAACACAAGTGACTACTGGCCCAATCTTCGTATCAATGCCATTACTTACATAAAAAACAAGTCTCATTTAAAAAAATTATTATAGTGAATAATAATATTCACCTAGAATCATCAGATAATAAGTGTCACAGGTTATATTTAAGCCCAGGAACATCTCACTCCAAAGTAAATCCCCTTAATATGACATCACATTGTTTGACTATAGACTTAAAAAGTTATGATTATGATTTTTAAAGTGATGGGGGTCTCACCACATTGCCCATGTTGGAGTGCAGCAGCTATTCACAGGCACCATCATAGCATACCATGGCCTTGAACTCCCGGCCTCAGATTCCCGAGTAGCTGGGACTACAGGCGTGTGCCACTATGCCCACATGAATACAAGTTTTGTTCAGATAGAACTGTTTTTGGCTACTAATAAAGAAAATATTAAAACTGCTGCAACGGTATGTTAACCTAAAAAAAAATTACACTTACCTGGTTATTGCTGGGGCTGGTACACCTCTTGTACGCAAGGTGGGTTTCCCTCGAACCACTGGAACATCTGCATTTTCTGAACCACCATTCAAATATGTTAATTCCTGGAGCTGTGCTTGCCTGATCTCATCATTATAGTCCTACACAAAAGACAGAAGATAGCAAAATTAACTTCACATTAGAAATACAAAAATATTTAGAACAAAAAGCAAGTAATTCTTAACAGAAAAAAAGGGTTAGGAAAATAGTTGAATCAATTTACAAAACAGTAAAATAAAAATTTGCTAAAATAAAAATGTGATAATAAATTTTTGTAAAAAAGGAAGAAAAAAAACTATAGCATTTTTTCCTCAAGCTAAAATTTTCTATAATCAGCCACTAACCTTTCTCTGGGCATACTTTGCAACTGAGACATTTATAATAAAATTAAAATATCATAAAACTGATATATGGGTGTTGTTATTTGCAACTCAATTCAACTAGCAGGTATTGATTACCTATAATGAACCAAGTAACAGAGAAACAAAGAGGAATTAAGCAATAGCCCAGCACCCAGGGACTTCAATCTAGCAAAGAGGAAGGATATATATACGTACAACAGGATAGCCTTCATGTACTTAAGAACCACAGGGACACAGGCTTTTCGCACATTTCCAATAGAAAATTATACAAGTTGTGAAATTCAACATTTTCAGAATTGAACACATAATCTTATTCCTGAAAATTTGCTCTTCTCCTTTCATCTTACATTATCATCCAAAGATTCAACTAAGAAACTCTAGGGGTCATCCTTGATTTCTCCTGCTTCCTTAGCACCCTGAACTCCATTCAACAATCATCAACTAAGACATGGGTAAATGTAAGCGTAATCTATTTTACAAAAAAGGGAAAGTTCAGGTCTAAAGGATCAAAAAGGAAATGGTAAGTTCATTACAAGAAGTGCTGCCTCAGGATGAGAACTAAAGGGCTAATATCCAAAATCTACAAAGAACTTAAACAAACTTACAAGAAAAAAGCGAACAACCCCATCAAAAAATGGGCAAAGGATATGAACAGACACTTCTCAGAAGTCCTAATTTCATGGGATTTATTAACAGTAAAGCCACTACTGTCAGAAACAGTGGTTTGGGTGAAAGGTAGAGATGGAATCCGTTTCAGTGGAATAAATAATAAACAGCAGTAAGCCAGAGAAAGTCAAGGCAGGCAGCTTCTTCCAGCTGTATGGGCACAATGAAAATGAGAGAGAAGATCATAGTTTTCAGGGAGGAGCAGAGGATTTTAAGACAGAAGAAACATGAGCAAATAAGAGTGTAAATAGAAGATTTAGAGGAGACAGATTCCTGAATTATTTATTATTTAGAATTAAAAACCTGAAAGAAATTCAGGAAATTTATTTTTAAAATACTACCTCTTTTCAAAAGCAGAATGCAAAAAAAATGGCTTGAAACTTGTAGTAGAAGGCATTCTAGAATTAAAAAAAATATGAACACCAGTCAAAAAGAAAGTTAAAATCATAATCAGCTAACACTTGCAAAGCAGGAAGAAGAGAAGGCAAATGACGACCAATACAAGTCACTGTGATTGACAGGGAAAATTAAGAATGGAGTCAATACTTTATTGTAAATATAAATTACTTCCCTGACTTATTTCAGGTATTGTGACCTCAGCGGAAGCATCTGGTTCTTTCCATCATTATTTCAACCTCTCTAAAATAAGCCTATTAGTATGTTACCAGCCATTTTACTGAAAATGTGTGAAGATTAACACATACTTTGTAAAGTACATTCTAAATAAGTGATTTGTAAAGCTCTAAATATAATGTGCTATATAAATGGTAAATATTTGACCTGCTGAAAAGTTAGGAGGTGTAATACTAAACTGTATGAAGTTAAAAATAGATTCATGCAAAAAGAACACAGTCGAAGCCCTATTCAGAAACAACATTAAAAAATATTGTTCTAAGTAAGGTTAGGTGATTATAACAGTATCACAAAAACTATAACGTCCATTTAAAATACCATCTTTGAAAAACTACATTTAAGAAATATGGAATTTGAATCAATCACATCTGAGGTTAAGCCTAAATTTAACCAACTGAACTTAACAGCTATGTGATTTTAGACAATTTTTTTAAATTCTAGGTGACTGTTTCTCCTGGTGTCAAATGGACCCTGCTGATATTACCATTATAGTTAGAATTTTCTTGGTCTTTGAAAAAATGCTTTTAAATTAGTAGAGAATGCAAATCATTCATAGTAGCTTACAGACTAACTTATTTTTGTAATTTTGCATTTTAAATTATCATTTTTAACTCCCCATCTGAAAAGTGAAACTATTACAACATTAACACCATCATGAATTGTAAAGAGCGGAAAAGCCATTAAAATTTTGATTAAATATGTGTAAGCAGGACTTGACTATCCAGTGAGCTTAGAATCTATTCAAATATATGTTAGCCTGAAGAACGGAGAAAAAGTTTTTAAATGAAATGATTAAAAGTAACTCATAGAAATTCAGTGGGTTCTCTGTTAGGAATTTACTCTTCAGATATATTTGCCAAAATATGCCAACAGTTATGTCCAAGGTTAATCCTAGGATCACTGTTTGTATTGTGATCTATAAGAAGTAACCTCAGTGTTCATTATTTGAGGGCCAATTAAATAAACTCTGGAACATGCATATAACAAAATATTATGCAGACATTAAAAAGAATGAAATAAAACTGCATATGCTCATAGGAACAAGGTCCAAAATCACCTAAGTTAAAAACAAAAGGTACTAATAGGACATGCCACTTCTGGTACAGCTCAGGGAGGAGCTCAGCAAAGCCTCTCCCACAAAAAGCAAAATAAAAACTGAGGAAATGGTTCAAAGTAACCATTTTAGGAGTTGAAAACTGACTAAAGGTATACAGTAAACTGAAAATACAATGTATTTATTCATTAAAAAGTGCTACATTTCAAGTAAGAAGAATGAGTCTGGCCTGCTTGCCAAACGATGCACCTAGTATTGCCGTCTTGGGTGGCGTCAAGAAACTGACCATCAGGCTAGCCAGAAATTGGACAGAGATTCAGGAAATGAGACAGTCTTGAAAAGCTCGCCACACTCCTCTGGCCGGATGGAAGGTTATGTGCATGGACAGCAAGAAGAGAATGAGGCAAAGCTCTCCATACAACCTTTCCTGAAGGCGAGTACACATATATGCAGGGGAGACAGGAGGAATCCCAGAGCAACAGAAAAGCCAGGGTGGACATGACGAGAGTCTTCTTGGATCCACTCCCCTATGTACACGCACAGCTCCATCATTAGAGGTTGGAAACCTCACTAACACAGTTGTGTGAACACGAGCTCCCGTTGGCTGTCCACTAAGCAGTGCTGACACAGACAACATCCCTAGCAAGCCAGGTTTAAAAATAAAAGCAACAAAACAAAACAAAACAACAATAACAAAACACATTAACAGAGATATTATTAGCTGTAACTATGAGGAAGACAGGCTGCAAATTTTTTCCAACTAAATTATTAAGGAAATAGAAGACAAAAAAAAAAAAAAAAAACTGTCTGCAACAAAAACCCCTCTGGGAAGAAAACAAATCAGATTACAGGTTTGCTATAATATGTTATTGAAAATATAGACTTTTCAGCAAAAAACTAAGAAACATGCAAAGAAACAGGAAAACGTGACCCATACTCAGGGGGAGAAAAGCAGTACAAAGAAACTGTATTGGAGAGGGCCCAGATGTTGGACTTGCAACACAAGAAAATTTAAAAAGCATATTACCCGCAATGAAAAATTCACTAGAGGAGTTCAATAACAGCTATGAGTTGGCAGAAGAATTAGTTAACTTGAAGACTGGTCCATTAAAATTATCCAGAGTGAGGTACATGGAGAAAAAAGGATGAAAAATCTTGAATGTCAGAAATCCATGAGACACCAGCATGTGTATCAACATACATGTAACTATAATTAGGGGGTGTGGTGGGGGGTAGAAAGGCAGAAAAAGTTTAAATAGCTGAAAACTTTCCACATTTAATGAAAAACATAAACCCATAGATGCACAAAGCTTAGCCAACAAATAGGATAAACGTGTGCATCACACCCAAATTGCTGACAACCAGAGGCAGAAAAAAATCTTGACAGCAGCAAGAGAAAAACAACAGATTATACACAGGAGAACAGTAAAATGATTAATGACTCTTCTCATCAAAAATAACAGAGGTCAGAAGGTAGCAAAGCAGCATATTCAAAGTGCTGGAGAAACAAAAAACAAAAACTATCAATCAATAATTATATTATCTATTTTTTTTGGATGTAGGTGAAATAAAGACATTCCCAAAAAAACAAAAGACTTTTTGCTAGCAGACCTAGGTTACAGGAAAGTCTAAAGAAAAACCTTCAGGCTGAAAAGAAATAACACCATATGGCAACTCTATCCACAGGAAGAAATGAAGGGCACCCAAAATAGTGTAAGTTACTATAAAAGACTCCAGAAAAATACTGTGCTACAAACTAATGTCCCTCATAATTACAGATGCAAAAATCCTTAACAAACTATTAGTAAACCGTATCTAGCAACACATAAAGAATACTACATGCTATGACCAAGTGGGAATTATCCTTGGAATGCAAATGTGGCTTCACATCTGAAATCAACTAACGTAATACACTATTATTCACAAAATAAAGGAGAATAAAACCACACAATCATCTCAGGAGGAAAAAGATTTGCAAAATTCAATACCCATATTTATACATTTGTTCAGGATAAAAACTCTCAACAATTAGAAATATCAGAGAACTTCCTCAACATGACAAAGAGCAGCAATAAAAAAACCTACAGCCAACGGTGAAAGGCTGAATGCTTTCCCCCCTAGTTTTAGAAACAACACTGCACTGATGGTTCTAGTCAGTGTGATAAGGAACGGAATGGAGTGGAATGGAATAGAAGAGAATAACAACATTACATTAAAAAAAATTAAAGGCATCCATATTGAAAGGAGCTAGTTCAGCTGTCTTTATTCACAGATGACATGCTCCTGTATTCCACTAATTAGGATTCCACTTAATCATTGTAATGATTCTATTTAAAAACACCACACTGTAACTAATAAACACGGCAAGATCACAATATACAAAATCAATATACAGAACTCAGGTGTATTTCTATACACTAGTTAACGATCTGAAAATGAAATTTTAAAAATTGCACTCACAATAGTATCAAAAAGTATACAATATTTACAAATCAATTTTGCAAAAGGAAAGGAAAAGGCTGATACCCTGAAAACGATAAAACACTATTGAGAAAAATTTTGTAATATCTTTTTTAAAAGTGAAGAAACATTTCATGTTCCTGGATTGGAAAACTCAAAATTGTTAAGATGAAAATTATCCCCAAACTGATCTATAGATTCAATATAATATGTATCAAATCCTAGCCAGCTTTTTTTTTTTTTAACAGAAATTAAGAAGCTGATCCTAAAACATATATAAAAATGCTAAGAAGCCAGAAAAGTAAAAAAAATGTTTGAAAAAGAACAAAGTTGGACAATTTACACAACCTAGATTTCCAGATTTACTTAAAGCTAAACTAATTAAGAGCATGCTACTGGCATTAAGAGTAGGCATACAAATCAATGAAAAAGAATTTGAGAGTGCAGAAATAAACCTTTACATTTATGTTTAGTAAATTTTCAACAATGGTACTAAGGTACTGAATGAGGAAATGATTGTCTTTTCAACATATGGTGCTAGGAAAACTGGATATCCATCTAGAAAATCATAAATTTAGAGACCTGAAATAAACAAATTAACTCAAAATGGATTTTAAGTGAGAGAATACTGAAAAACATTTAAAGAAAACAGAAAATCTTGGTGACCTTCAGTAGGCGAAGATTCTTTTGGCCAGCCCAGATTCGGTGTGAGAGAAATTAGAGTCTACCCCGGGGAAGGACTGTAGGGGTCATGGGATAAAAGGTGCTACTGCAGCCATCTTTGGAAAAGAGAATCTGTCTCACCTGGCTAGAGACGCGCTGCCTGCGCCACACTGTATCATCACCAAAACAGACACCTCTCCTTAGCTGTGGTCTTGTCAGGGTTTCAGTTTCGTAGTCATTTGTATGAAAAACTGATTCATATCTGACTTTGCCATGAAACTCCACGAGAGATCATGTATTTTATTAGTTCACATCTGCCTATCACATAGCGAAGCCCTTAGAAATTTTGTTTTTAAACTAAATGAAGAAATAGATTGTCATATTTGCTCATGGGAACTAAAGAAAATACTAGCCATTTCAGTTCCCAGGTTATTACATACTTAATGCAATTCCATGTCCTGGCTTTTTAAAGGCAAAAGTGATTTAAATATCCTTTGCCTATAAATATAACAATTGTTTTCCTCACACATAGTATAATCACAGTACAAGTGCTGTAGTATGTAAGTCAATCCACCAAACTAGCCTAGGATGACCGAAGACAGTCCTATCCAGAGAACTATTTGACAGATGTGTCAGTTTCTCTAAAACAGTCTGCAGCGCCAAAGTGTTGAATACTTTATGATTCTTTTCACCAAGAGCATGCAAATGACATAAAAAGTCCTTTTATCAAGAGCATACAAATCACACAAAAGACTTAAATCAATTTTTGTAACAGAGGCAGAGATGTATTCCCTTTAAATTGTCACATCCTTAGCAATGTCAAGGTGTCTGCAAGGGTTAAAACAGATAGTCAATTTTTAACAAAACATCCAAAATACTTGGCAGTAGCTAGCTAAATAGCCCATGCCCTCTGTGCTCATTATGGTTATGTCTGTTACTATATTTATCATGTTGTACTGAAATCATCTATTGATGTTTCTCTTTTCCTCTAAATTACATAATATTCTGAACGAGGGCAGGGACTGCTTTTATTCAAGTCTGCATGCCAACACCAAGCACCGTGCATGGCACGCAGAAGGCACTAACGGTTTTGTGTTGGAGAACAAAAAATTTGTAAAGTGTCACATAAAATTGTAGGAAAAGTGTTTCAAAACCTGAACTAGGGATTGTGCTATGCAAGTTTTTTAGCTATGTAACCTTGGCCATATTATTGAATCTTCCTGAAATTCCAACACCTCATATATAAAGAAGGAATGATGCCCAGTAATTCACAGGGACACTGTAAGGTCTACATGAGGTGATGTCCATACAGCTTTTCAGCAGAAAAGGAGCTACGCAAATAAAAGCACAGACTTTAAAGTACAAGTTAACAATCAAGAAAAATTGTACTAACAGGGATGAGGAACTTTTTGATTTCTTCCAAAGCATGTCCCATCCTGGCATAAGCTTCTGCAGGTGGGGCAAACACTTCAATGAGAACATGGAGATCATCATTGAGATGGAAGTACTTTGCTTCTCCACTTTTCCTCAACTCTTCTTCCTGGAAAAAAGAAAAAAGAAATCACATTAAAAAATGTGTCATTGTAAGAAATGAAAAAATAAAAAAATAAGTAAATAAAAACTAATCCCCCAAAATAAAAACAATCCACTTGGCATGCGGTTGTCACAGAAAATTCACGCAACAGTAGACGCCACTCTAGAAAAGAAGGTTTAAGCTACAAATGTGATCCTGATATTCCCAGGCTTTTACACACACTCCAAAGGCTTCCTACTGCTGCTGGAATAACATCCCACTCCAGATGCTGACTTGTAGGAGCTCCACCATCTGCTCACTTCCACTGCTAGGCTGTCTTCACCTTCTCCAGTCTCCTTTGCTCAACCCTCAGCAGCAGCTGCCCATGCTTCCTTTGTGCTTCTCAACCTGGCTGAGCTCACGTGCTCACTTCTACACTGGCTATGTGTGTCTGTGATGCTGGTACAAGGCACTTACCACTATCTGAAATATCTTATTTTAAAAAACATGTCTATTTTCTCTTAGTAAAAAGTGATTACCATGGAGCAGACACTGTGACTGCTTTGCTTAGTGATGCATTTTCCATGTCTAGAAAAGTGCTTGGTATACAGATGTTCAACAAAGATTTGTTGAATGAATGATTAAACATTCATTCATTGCTATGTCAATTTGCTCGTTCACATATTCATTCAAAAAACATTTCTACATACCAAGCACTATATTCTGAGAATAAAACAGTGAATAAAACAAAACGAAAGACTTTATTACATTATTCTACACAATTATGACAAAAGGTTTTAACCTTTGTTTCCATAGTGAAATGCAGGAGGAAAACTAGGAGGAGAAAAAACAGATTGTTAAGGAACTACTGATTTTTCTCCCCTGCCTTTTCCTAACTAATCTTCAATGTTAGGTCCTCATTTCAGAATCTGGGTCTTCCATTAGTCTTTGTTTCCAATATTAATATCAGACAGATTAACAGAAATCTGAGACTAATTTCCAAAAGATAAGAACTCTTTCTAGTCTCTCAAAAAGGCTATCCGATAACCAAGAGAACCCCAGGAATTCCTGGCAATACCACCTTTTAATTTCACAACTAAGCAAGAGGCCAATGATGAAATGCTAGAAGCACATAAGCCTTGACTTCACCCTTGAAGGATTCCACTTCTGTTACTTGACTATTTGAACTCTTACGAAGAAAAGAAAGACTAATACACACAGCAGGAAATGAGCATGGGACTTAGTCAGCTATACTTTCATCTCAGCTATGCCGATCCTAGCCATGTGAGTTTAGACAGACTGTATGTAATCCAATACTTAATTTGCAAAATCTGTTTATTGGTAGCACATGTATATTAATGCAGAACTACTAAGAACACAAGGGACAGCTTTATATAAATGCTGGTGAAAGGAGACAGTGTATATACTACCTAGTATACTGTCTAACATATAGTAGGCACCAATACATGCTAGCTTCCATCATATTAATAGAAATAGGCCAGAAACTGAATGAAAGGAAAAAACATAAGGGAATGTATGTAAATATAAGCTGCCACAATATTCTATAAATTTCCTTTGAAATTTGTTTTGACTATAAAAACCATTATCTTACGCCAACTCTTCATTGCTCTAATCAGAACATTTCAACCATCTGATCTGAGTCTCTCTCATCGCTCAAGTTGTAAAAATTGGATTCTATGTACAGCAATTCATCTCTGAAAGCACAAATTATTGAAACAAACATTTATCCTTTTCTAACAGAATACCAAAATAATGATTTTAATGAAAGATTGTAATTGTTCATTCTTATTCAAGCATTTTTATTTCTACCACAAACTCAAGCTGGACAGAGAGGTTTTCTTACCATAGCTGTAGCCATGGTACAGTTCCACAGAGAGAGGAGTTATTACCAAACTACTCTATAGATTAATGATGAGAGGCAATGTGTTATTTGGAGAAAAACATAGATGTTGAAATTCTGCATTAAACCCCTAATCCAACATTAATTGTATGACTTGGGCAGGCTACATTACCCTCATCTTAAAGGGGTGATTTTTAAGTGTTGAAAATAATAGTATAGTACTTATCTCAGAAGGTTGTTATGGTAATAAAGGAGTTAGCAAACAAAACATCTTTAGGATGAAGCCTTGCACCTAATAAGCACTCAGTAAATGATAAATGTAGTAATGCTAATTATTATATAACTATCATTTTATTTATTCTATTATTGTATAGTATAGACGATGTAGGCAAAACATCCAGCATGAAGTTTGGCACAAACTGAAGGCTCAACAGACCAGAGCATTGTCATGATTATTATGCTATGTAACTAACTGATATACATCAGTAATGACCCCCATAATTTCATAAATGTAGCAAATAAATGCAGAAAATAAATTATATTCACATTAGATTTTAAATAGTGAACACTTTTAAAATCTAAAAGGATGAGATTAAAATAATAAGGGAATCTCTTTAGAAATAAACCCATTAACTGATAACTTCTGAAAACTAAAACTAGTAAAAAGGATCAACTGAAGATAATAGAGCAGATGGGATACTAGTATAATCTTGGTTTTTTAAAAAATTTTTTTATTTTTTTTGGTTTTGGAGACAGAGTCTCGCTCTTTCACCCAGGTTGGAGTGCAATGGCTCAATCTCGGCTCACTGCAACCTCCGCTTCCTGGGTTCAAGCAATTCTCCTGTCTCAGCCTCTGGAGTGGCTGGGATTACAGGCGTGTACCACCATGCCCGGCTAATTTTTATATTTTTAGTAAAGACGGGGTTTCACCATGTTGGCCAGGCTGGTCTCGAACTCCTGACCTCAGGTGATCCCCCCGCCTTGGCCTCCCAAAGTGCTGGGACTGCAGGCGTGAGCCACCGCGACCGGCCAGTATCCATTTAAGTTGCAAACCTGTCACTTAAATGATCATCTGTGGTCACCCTCAGTAAAATGCTTTTGAAAGAATGACTGATGGATCATGTGACAGAGGCTACAGCACAGTATGGGACAAAATGGGGAGGGGAGTACAGGTGGGCAAGAGGTAGACAAAGCTGATGGAAAAGAGTTGAGAGAGAAAATGACAGACTGGGGGCTTTACGTTGTTATCAGTTCAGGCCCAAAGACCCAGAAGCAAGCTAGGGTGCACTGTTGGCAGCCACAGGTTGACGGGGTCAACACACAGATGCAGAGTTCAAGTCTGTGTGCAGCTGAATAAAAATACAGATGCCCAGCCGTCTCTTATGTGAGACTCAGGACACTGTCTGGATAACAGCAAAAACCTAAGAATAAATTAAACCTGAGAACAAACTGACATTTGGGAGGATTCATACAACTTTGAGTACTCCAATAGTGAAATGCCACAGAGCCTTCCACAAGGCAAAAGCCTGTCTGGTGATCCTTTTCCCATGTTGCTTACACAGCTGAGGTAGTTCCTTGAAGGGAGATGACAATTCTCATGCTTCACTACTCCTCCTCCTTATCATCTCCTGGCCTACGATCAATCTCTGCTTAACCAAACATGCAGAGAACAAGAGAGCTATGTTAAACCCAGGGAAAAGGCTGCTTGCATACAGTAACTATATTTCCTAGTGTGTGAGCTTCCTCCTAGTCCTCCCAAAACAATGAATTTCTCTAATAAACCCAGATAATATATTCAAATTCTCTGAATCTCAGATCCCAGCAAGCATCAGGGACATTTTACTAGAGTGACTTTACACCAAGGAGAGGAAACACTTAGCCAGTTTGAGAAACACTTAGCCAGTTTGAGAATTAACAGAACTGATTCTGACCTAACGCCACTCCCCTGAGGGCCACCAAGCAGAGTGGGGCTTACGGGATTAGAAGGTAAGGAGACTTCTGGTCCCAGTGCACTGACAGTGGTTTCAGTGGATTCTAAATCGACAACGTATGCTACTCCCCTCCCTGGTTCCCGAGGGTCTTGATGAAATATACACAATCAACCACTTGCAGAATCACCATATCGATTCCCAAAGACATAAAAATGAAAGAATCAGTGAACGGGTGATAAATGATCTGGAAAAGAGGGGCCAAGCATGTAAAAACAGGGTGTCCCATGCAAATGCAGAGCAGGCATTCAGCCAGGTAGTCAAGAGGACTCACTGCAGCAGATGCTAGAGCACCTTATTCCCTAGCAGTCTCCATGCAACTCAAGGTGCTCATCAGCAAAATGGCCATGGTGGCTGGGAAGGAAGTTGCATTGCTTCATAATACAGATCCCGTCAAAAAGTATGACTGGCTATTGACATGCTGTGTGTCCAATATGCCAACAACAGAGAACCTTGATATGACAATATAATCTGGAAGGCCCACCAAGCCCTGACACCAAGCTGATAATATTTAGGATCCCTTTTATTATATGGGTAGTCAGGCACTTGCTGCTAACTTGGGCATACAATCTAGATAAAGCTTTACCTTCCTTGTTTCCCTTCTACCTGTAAAAATTCTTGGTGGATGCCCTGATTACTACCACTGTATGCTACAAAACACTGCTTCTGACCAAGCAGTGGTTCCGACCAACCCCCTTAGCAACAAACTAAGTGAGTGGGACACTGGAATCCTGCTTGTGGGTTTCACTGCTCACATCGTGCATTAACAGATGGCCTTATTAGAGCATGAACTAAGATATCAGCAAGGGTAGAGAACTTTCCTGCAAAATATACATAATTTCTGACCAACTGGCCAAATATATGTTTTCATTTTCTCCTACTGCCAGAATAGATGAGTCAGGGAATTGAAGTCATGATTTAAGACAGCAATGTTTAGTTAGTAATTAAAAAAACCAGGCCATGCACTGGAATCATTTCAAACACCTACTGAAATTCATTTTGAGGCTCTACCCTAAACAAGTAGAGGTAGGAGAATCTGTATTTTTAAACAGTATCCCATAAAAATCTGATACATGTCATGTTTTCCATTGCTGTCGAAAATATATCGGTGCTGGTGTCAGAAAACCATGGGTTTATTAGCCATGTTAGTCAAAAACAAAAAATTTCTCAGGTTAACCCAGATAATACACTCAAGTTCTCTGAATCTCAGTTTCCTTACACGTAAAACGAGGAAAATATTATCTCCCATCATTTTTCCAAGGATAACATGAAGGAATGCATGTAAAATGTTTCACACAGTGCCTGACTCACAGTGGCAGTTCAATAAACAAATACTGGCCATTTTTACTATAAAAGCTATTATTTAGATAGCCTTATTGTGAGGATGTTGGATTGTGTTGAAATCATCCGTGTTTAAAATATCACTGTTCAACATTTCACGGTATGTGATCGCTCAATGTGGATCTGGTTCTCAGTAAGTCTTTTAATAATGAGAAAACAACATGTATCTTTAGAAAACAATGTAAGTGACACACATTATGATATGAGAAAATTCCTTTCAGAATTGGTATATTTTAGAAAATGATCAATAAAAATAATAGTATTTTTAGCTGGTTAAAAAAACATGACTATTAATGTGAATACATCTAAGTAGAACAATTATGTATTAGAACAATAAGCAATTACTAAAACACTTAAAATCAATTTTAATAACATTCTAAAATGCATACAATATCAAATAAAAAGCAAAAATAATAAAAGTATATAATTATAAACTCAACGATATGTAATGTCTGCACAGAAAAAAAGACTCCAAAAACACTAATCTAAAATGCAAACAGTAATGAGACTATAGATAGCTTTTATTTCTTTTCACAATAATTTTAATGTTATCTTACTTCCTACAAGGTGACATATTACAACTGCAATCAAAACTTTAAGTATTATGCTTTTATTTAATGTATGACTATAAATGTTATAGATGCAGGTTTAAGTTACTACATATTCTGAAGCTGACCAGAGTGACTCAATTTTCTAAACAGTATCACAAATAAATCCCCTTATGTAACTATATATGAATACAGTGGATGACATAAGAGTACATAATATAACATAACTCACAACTTAGCCATTTTCTATAATTAATATTACCTTGGCCTTGTCTCTCATGGATCCTTTCCCAAGGATGGACATTTTTGTCAAGGTTTCTTCTTGTAATCGCTTCAGAGAATTGCCACGTGGACCCAGAAGTTTCCCCACAAAGTTGAACTAGGAAAAATAAACAACCAAATTTGTAGCATTTATATCTGAAGGAAATTTCTTAATCTTGAACATTAAGAAACACTGTAGTGTTCTACACATCACTGATTAATCGCAAATATTTAAGTTCCTGCTATATGCATCAAAATATGATGTTTCCCACAAACCACATAAAACGGGGCTAAACGTAAAATAAAAAACCCTGATATATTTCTTTATATTTATTTTAGAGATGGCTATATTCCACAACTGTGAATGAAGCTAATTTCCCAGAATTCTTCGGTTGCTATCCTGTTTCAGCACACGTTGACTATCACCATGAATGAACACTTACAGGATGAGAACATAGGTGAGAAAAAATGACAGCAGGTGTCTCTAACATGCACTACACCGGTCACTGTGGAATACCTGGTTCTTCTACCTGGTCAGCCCTTAGATCTGGTTACTCAATCAGTGAGAGGACTGGCCTAGATGAGTTCTTAAGCATTTGGTGGCTAATGGAAGCTTTACAACAAAATTTATTGCTTCTAAAATAACTAGCTATGGGAATGCGGGTCATTTATTTAACCTTAGGTGTCTGGGGTTCTTTATTCAACAAGCAGAATAGTAGTGAATTAATTAAGGGTATGCCTTCTGTAACCAGACTACCATGATTTAAAATCTAGCCTTTTCTGTTTGCCAGCTGAGTAACCCTGGGCAAGTTACCTAACCTGTCTATACCTCAGTTTCTTCATCTGTAAAATAGGAATGAAAACAAGATCTGACTTCATAGGGCTGTTCTGATGATTCAGTCAGTCAATATAAATACTGTTTAAAACAATGCTTGCCAGATAACAGACACTCAATACATACATCTTGAATAAAAAATAAATAAATAATCAATCAGGAATTTCACACAATTTTTAAAAGCCTTGCTATAATTAAGGTAAATCATGACTACTTCTTGCTTCCAAATAGAAAATCAGCAGGGAGAAAGCTGTTCGCCTTGGCAAGATGCTTGATTACAAACTCACATAGCAGCCACTTCTTCTGTGATCCATGCCACTGCTGCGCTGTTGTTTCTAAGAGAAAATTGTTCCTCAATTTACCTAACTATGGCAATTGAAGTAATTTTCCTGAAATAAGTACTTAGCACTTTAAAAAATCTAAATGGTATTTTTTCCTTCCCACTTTTAATTTTATTGGTCTTCAACCAAAACTCAAATATGTATTTTTAATCTTTGCATGTAATTATTTTTTGCATGTTAAAATGTCATTTTCACTAAAATATTTTTAAATATAAAAGTTATACTTGCAGAGTTTACAAAGTCCAATACTATTACAGGGTGGAAAAAGTGGAGTAAATGGGAGCAAGAATCAGGTGGGACTGGGTACTGACCATACAATCCCACCTGATTCTAGCTCCCCATTCACTTTCATTATCTTTCTGACAATTCTATTATTTGGACCTTGGACATCCTAAGATGGATTGCTATCTCTAAATTTATCTTTTATTATTTGTGTCTGTTTTACTTTCTGGAGAATTTAACTACATTTCCTATATACCTATTGATTCCTTCATTTTTGCTATCAAATGTTTACCTATGAATAGGACTGTCTTATAGCTGTTTCTTCTTTATGGTGTTTTGTTTATATTTTGTGGAAACAATGACATTTCTCATCCTTTCTGAAGATAATAATGACAGCAGCCTGTCCCCATCTTGGAGTTTAAAGTACCTGCTTCTTCCAAGAGTCTCCCCTTCCTCATTTTGTGAGCTGGTCCCTTTCTCTTTTATGGGATTTTCTCAGATGTCTGGTAATCCTCTACTATCTGTTCTTAAAAATTCGGGATTGCTGACTGGAAGTTCTGTTTTCATACATGGGACTTGACAAAGAGTAGTCTTCACTGTAAATATGGCAGCTGAGTTATTTTATCAAGAGCTACTGAAATATCAGTATCTGTATTTCTTTTTTTTTTGAGACGGAGTCTGGCTCTGTCGTCCAGGCTGGAGTGCAGTGGCCGGATCTCAGCTCACTGCAAGCTCCGCCTCCCGGGTTTACGCCATTCTCCTGCCTCAGCCTCCCGAGTAGCTGGGACTACAGGCGCCCGCCGCCTCACCCGGCTAGTTTTTTGTATTTTTTAGTAGAGACGGGGTTTCACCGGGTTAGCCAGGATGGTCTCGATCTCCTGACCTCGTGATCCGCCCGTCTCGGCCTCCCAAAGTGCTGGGATTACAGGCTTGAGCCACCGCGCCCGGCCCAGTATCTATATTTCTTTTCACTTGGGTGAGGCACTTCTCTGAAGAGAAACTCCTCAACCTTTTAAGAGGAGGTGTTAAGTCCAGCTGACAGAATACTGGGAATCCCATCACTAAGCACACACACTTTTAAAGGAAACAATTCCCTCATTTTCAGTGTGACGTCTCACCCTCATCCTCAGTTGTATCTGTCTGTGTCTTAGAGCTTCACAGTTCTCCAATTCAATCTCTTCAAGAAACCTCTGGTCTTTTGCTAGAGTGTGGAGGGGCAGATGCCTGGTTTTATAAGATGAGAACATCTTGTGATCTAACTACTTCTTATACCTTTCAACTAAGTCTACTCTTGTCAGTTCTACTCCACAAATCCACCTTTACCGTAATTGCTATCTACAATTCCTGAGGGCTCTCGAGTTTTCCCACAGTAATGAACAGGTTTCTGGTTGAATTCTTCTCCGCCTGCCAGCTCAGGGTTCTGCTTTCTCTGGTCTCCATTACCATTTATCTATCTATTTTGCAAGCACCAAAATTTTATAGACATCATTTGCCTATTGTCTCACTCTCCCATTCTTGTGATCTTCATATATTTATGCCTTTTTATTTCATTTATATTTATTTTAAGAGGTTTCAAAAAGGGAGCAAAAATAAATTTTGATAGTCAGATAGTCATAATTATCTTGCATCTTAAGTGGTCAAATAGTTCCCAAGTGATAAAAATTAAGAGGCTTTAGAAATCATCCAATCCAAACATCTAATTTTATATGGAAGAATCTGAAGTCCACAGAGAGATATGATTGATTAAAGGTCACTTGACAGCACTCTAGGCAAAAAGAAAAAGCATTTTATATGACTTTTATATACCTTTAGGGGTTTATTTTTTCCACTTCTGTTAGTGTTTTGTTCACAAAAAGTATATAAATGAATACTGTGACAACCAGAAACACTTTTATTTTCCCTTCTTTTTCCTCTTAACTCTGTTCAACCATTATCTCCCTGTCAAGTTAGTTCAATCTCCCCAGTCAAATTCACCCTCCCGAGTCTCAGACTTTTCATCCACAAAACACAGATCATACTACCTACTGCGGGTGCAGCTTGCATGAATTAAATAAGAAAGTATATGAAAATCACCCACGAGAGCAGCCAGCAGATTGTGTATACTTGATGCCAAATTAGTAAGTAATTACTAGATGAATTTAACTGTTGTGGATATATACAATTTTATCTGAACAAGACCCACCTTCTCTGGAACTGCTGCCCCTTCAGAACCTATGGCAACTGGGACAAGGCTACCAAGGGAGCCACCACACTGAAAATGGCATGACCTGGCCCAGGCCACCCAGATCGGCCACGGAATTGGTCTTTGACTGGAAGTCAAGAGATTCTGAAATTTAGAACTAATTATGTGGCTACTGAATGTCCTGAGAGCTGAGTCACAATAGTGGTAATGTGCTTGGTTGCTCCGTCAGGTTCTCAAACTGCAGATGTTGCATCACCTTCCTGTGGGACATGTGGAAATATTTAGCATGTTTATTCGGTTGTCACAATGACTAGGGTCACTACTGGGACTTACGGGCAAAGGCCTATAATGTCGGACATCAGAAATAGATGGTCCCGCCCTTCACAGAAGTGTCCTGTTTAAAACGTCAGTTGTGGCCCAGGTAAGAAATACTGCTAGAGGGAAAAGCCACAGACAATTTCCTAGGCTTAAAGTCCTTATTACTATCTTCTCCATTTGCAAGTTCAATTCCTCCATGCATTCCATATGATACCCTAAGGTAGGTTTTATTTGTTGTTGCTTCTTGTTGTTTTTTTAAGAAAAAATCCTTCAAGCTAGTCACAGTACTCGCAACAAGAAAAGGCCTCACCAACAGATGGACTGAGTATGTATTTTGGACTTTCTGGATGACACAAACAATAAACAATGAAAGCAGCACAGTTCTCTTATTTGCCATTAGTCCCATAACACCTCCTGATGTCCACTTGCTATGGGTTCTGAAGGGGTGTCATCACACAGTGACCCCATCTTATCAGCAATGTGAACACAGTGGTTTCTTAGCATTTCTAGCCTTCAGTTTCATAATTTCCAGGTGTGGCTTATAAAAGTCACTACATTTCAGGGTTATTATGAAGATTAAAATATCAGATAAAGTGCTAAGCGCTGTGACAATGTTGAATTTTACCTGAGCAGCCCTGTGCACCTAAAAACAGTGATGATTAAGAAATCTCCCCACCCTTTTGTGTTTCTGGAAAGTGCTTGTTGCAAAGGACCACTCTTACCCACATGACTTAGATAAGACTCACAGATGATCCTTTATTTACCTACAGCAAGAACAGACACAAACCCTCAACATTTCCATTATTTTGCCCCTCAAAAATTAGCTGAACTGTTTGTTTCCACTGATCAATCAGAAAAAGACATATATCCTGAGTTAGTTAAACTTTGCTTCCACTTCTCTCCTTTCTTCAGACCCCTGAACTTTGACCCATCTTCAGTCTGAACCAGCAGACAAGCTCTACCCAAAGGACGTTTTGGAAAAAAAGCCAAAGGGGTAGTGTTGTCTGACCACCGTCCCATCCTGCCACTGCCACCCATTCATCCCACTGCCCCACACCGTTCTGGTCTCAAGCACTTCACCCAAGAAAGGAAAGCCCTTTTCTGCCTGATTCCTGAGATGTAACTTACAGTGTTCACGGTCAGGTTTTTCTCCCTTTTTAATAACCCCTCTCCCTATTGCCCATAGTCTCTTTCTGTGCTCTTGCAATCACCTTTTCAAA